GTTTGTATACTTGTGTGAAATGTTTGTGTACTTCTGTGAAATGTTTGTGTACTTGTGTGAAATATTTGTGTGAAATGTCTTTGTGAAATGTTTGTGTGAAATGTTTGTGTACTTGTGTGAAATGTTTGTGTACTTGTGTGAAATGTTTGTGTACTTGTGTGAAATGTTTGTGTACTTGTGTGAAATGTTTGTGTACTTGTGTGAAATGTTTGTGTACTTGTGTGAAATGTTTGTGTGAAATGTTTGTGTACTTGTGTGAAATGTTTGTGTGAAATGTTTGTGTACTTGTGTGAAATGTTTGTGTACTTGTGTGAAATGTTTGTGTACTTGTGTGAAATGTTTGTGTGAAATGTTTGTGTACTTGTGTGAAATGTTTGTGTACTTGTCTGCTGAAGACACATAAATTGTGTCCAATGAGCAGGTACCTGGGGCTAAAAATAGATCCTGTTGTGTTAAACTAGTGCCATCATCCTAGATTCTACCACGACATGGTTGGGGGGGGGGGGAGAGAGGATCTGGGGCGGGTGTGGTGTGCGCATGGTTTTCCTATTAAAATCCTGGCTGAATTCGTCACGCGAATCGCCCCAGGCGTCCCGACAAAAATGGTTTATTATTCTTACCGTATTCCCTGCTTAGAAAACGTTTTTGTTTTGAAACAATTTTTCCCCATCCATATCATTCACGTTAGGACGCCAGTTTTTTAACAAAGGGGAGCAACCGATCCTGGTAAATGTTTTGTGCATCTAGCGTTAACCTTCGCGTCTACAGGCCCGCTCTAAGGGCTCGTCTTACAGGCAAGCATAGCTCTAGCTGCAGCTAGAGAATAATATACTAGCTGCAGTTATAAAACTACTTGGTTCACCTATACATCTGATGGTTGCACCTATTGAGACCAGTTACACGTGTTAGACGGCGTGGCCTAGCGGTAGAGCGCTAGACTGCTAACTCGAAAGTTTAAGTTCGAGTCCAAGTCAGTAGAACGTCTCAAGAGTCCCAGCTTTGATTAGGGGAAGTAAAGCGGCTGGTCATAGTGCTGACCACATAGAGCTCAACAGGTAAACTCTACTTCACTTGCCTCACTTGTTACAGCTGTGCTAGAGGGACCAGCTACAGCTGTGTTAGAGGGACCAGCTACAGCTGTGCTAGAGGGACCAGCTACAGCTGTGGCGAGCATCAAATCAACATGGACCTGTACTGTGTACGCCCCCCCCCCGTGTGTGATCACTGGTACACGCGTCTTACCCCCACCCCACAAGATTTGAGTTAATTAGTGAAACCGTCGGCCCCGCCCACCGCTCACTTCCCCCCCCCCCCCCGGGCATGCGCACACCTGGCCATTAGAGCAATCAGAGAACAAGATTTCACGTGTAGGCGCTCATCGTCTGCTGTCACTTTCAGCTGACGTCACACGCTCCTGAATTCAATTGGTGCTCATTTACTGTCTTCAGGTTAGCTGGTTACAGTTGAACCCACGACCCTGACGGTTAAACTTAGACGGTTAAACACATACGGATAAACACAGGCGGATAAGCACAGACGACTGTATTGATTGCACAGTGATTGAGCAGTGACAACAGATCAACTCTACTGCACCTAGGTTCTAATGAAAAAGGTGACACAAGATAAGATGTGATCAACTTGCTGGACAGAAACAGTGGAGCCCATTGTACCGTCGTTAGTGAGGTCATTCAACAATGACGTCACGATACAGGTCTAGTTAACGTGACGTCCATGATACACGTCTAACATGACGTCCATGATACAGGTCTAGTTAACATGACGTCCATGATACAGGTCTAGTTAACATGACGTCCATGATACACGTCTAACATGACGTCCATGATACAGTTGTAGTTAACATGACGTCCATGAATCAGGTCTTGTGAAGATGACAGGTAGCCACTTGAGATTGTACAAATCCCTGAAGGTATGTTTACGTGAGCTCTACATCACCTACTTGTCTGTGGAGTCTGGGCTCTTGAGTCAAAGCTCCGGAGCAATTACTGGCCCCTCCACGGCCCCTCCACGGCCCCTCCACGGCCCCTCCATGGCTCCAAGTGTTTGCACGCGGTATTTGTCTTGTTTAAATAGGCAGTGGAGCGGCATTTCTCCGGTTGCCATGGTGATCCCATTGTTGAAATAACTTGTGTTTTATGAGTGGGTTATGAGGTTGAACTCATGTGACCTTGGCCGTGAACTCATGTTACCTTGGCCGTGAACTCATGTGACCTAGGTCGTGAACTCATGTGACCTTGGCCGTGAACTCATGTTACCTTGGCCGTGAACTCATGTGACCTTGGCCGTGAACTCATGTGACCTTGGCCGTGAACTCACATGGCCTTTGGTCACATCAGCACAAAGCACCACAACGTCAGCATCAATATAACACAACGTAGTACAACAAACCGATTTTTTCCGAATACCGGAACTGCTATATTGATGAAGCTTTCAGCTAATTACGTTGATGCAGGCAAACAGCGCCATCACTTCTAATCTAATTACAACCTCTCATTATGAAGATGAATTTACACACGAACTTAACGAGGGCCATGAGTTGTTGTGGTGCTGTTGGTGTACACTACCGTTGGATGAAGTTGTGTGCTCCATCCACGTCGTCTTTCTTCATTTGTTTTACAACAAAACGTAAGCTGATTCGTTTAGCGACTCACGTTCGTCTCTACGTCGTTAGTTAGCGAGGTAGGTCTCACAGGACTTCTGTTGACTGGCCTTCGGTTGGCCATGCTAGCGGCCACATGGCCCGAGCACCGTGAACTGGCCGCCGGTTGGCCACATGGCCCTGAGCACCCTGAACGACCCGGCCAGACGCAGATATAAACGCAGCAGATGCCGCCATCTTGGTGAAAGTTTTGACGTGCACACGTCTAAACAAAAACCGTTTGCTGCGAGAATGTTCGAAATTTCCAGCTCTAGGAATTTTAATCTGTGAGGTTTTCCCTACTAGCTGCTCATTAAGATGCGTTTCATTAATTAACTAAATACGCCATCTTAATGGGATACAGTGGGGTTAAATCCCAACCAACCAGTCTAGAATGGTCAGGTGAGAAAGTGGCGTGCAACCAGTCTAGAATGGTGTGAAAGTGGTGTGCAACCAGTCTAGGATGGTGAGAAAGTGGTGTGCAACCCCTCTAGAATGGTGAGAAAGTGGCGTGCAACCAGTCTAGAATGGTGTGAAAGTGGCGTGCAACCAGTCTAGGATGGTGAGAAAGTGGTGTGCAACCCCTCTAGAATGGTGAGAAATTGGCGTGCAACCAGTCTAGAATGGTCAGGTGAGAAAGTGGCGTGCAACCAGTCTAGAATGGTGTGAAAGTGGCGTGCAACCAGTCTAGGATGGTGAGAAAGTGGTGTGCAACCCCTCTAGAATGGTGAGAAAGTGGCGTGCAGCCAGTCTAGAATGGTCAGGTGAGAAAGTGGCGTGCAACCAGTCTAGAATGGTCAGGTGAGAAAGTGGCGTGCAACCAGTCTAGGATGGTGAGAAAGTGGTGTGCAACCCCTCTAGAATGGTGAGAAAGTGGCGTGCAACCAGTCTAGAATGGTGTGAACGTGGCGTGCAACCAGTCTAGAATGGTGTGAAAGTGGCGTGCAACCAGTCTAGGATGGTGAGAAAGTGGTGTGCAACCAGTCTAGAATGTTGTGATGTCACCAGTGAACGGCTGTGATGAACGGTTCCACTACCAGCCGAATGGCCAGTCTACCATTTAAAATCTAGCCGCCCACCTCTCCCGTGGGGCTGGGGGTCAGAACGGTCAAGCCTGGGTGTGCATGCCCAGACTTAATGACAGTAGCTGGCCACAACATGGCCACACCATGGCCACACCATGGCCACAATATGCCCAGACTTAATGACAGTAGCTGGCCACAACATGGCTACAATATGGCCACAAAATGGCCACAACATGCCCAGACTTAATGACAGTAGCTGGCCACACCATGGCCACAACATGGCCACAATATGGCCACAACATGAATGGCTAGAACGCACTCAGCGTGTGTGTGTGTTATTTGTGTGTGCGTGTGTGTGTGTGTGGTGATTTAATTGGATTTACGGCAACTTCCGGCTGTGGTCGAGCGCCCCAGGGCATCGTTCAACTGATGAGGTCAGTAGTTGAGTACACCTTGATGGCAGGCACGTGCCCTGTGTGAGCCGCAGGGAACCGTGACCAGATGGGTGAACCCATCAGGGAACCAGCAGGGAACGGGTTGTGGTTGAGGACAAATGAGGGGAACTTGTCGTCATGATGGAGCCAGTTTAGGAACTGATTAGGGAACCAGCAGCCAATGACGTCAGCTCGTATCTTTGGGTCAGGCTTAGGGTGAGACCACACGTGATGACGTAGGTTTCCTTCGCCACGTCACGTGATCCAGTTACAAGCCAGCAAGTAAAATGTGTCAACTGAATTTACTTCCGGTCTACAAATATCTAAACGGATGTTGTGGGCCCTCCGTTATAGATGACGTACGGTCAGCTAGCGCCGTCAGGAAAGTGACGTCACGCGCCGTGTGTCTGCTCTCATGCGTGACCTTGAAGACGTACGGACGAGGCCGGTAGAGGCACGTGAACGTGACCTTGGCTGATAGCACTCACCACCCCCATCACGTGACTCCCGATGTGATTGTTCCAGACATTGACGGCCGGGCCTGGTCTGCCGATGGGGGGGGGGGGGGGATGATGGAGGGACACCGTTCCTGTAACTGATGGGCGGCGGGGTGGGGGTGGAGGGGGTTAATGGAGTTACAACTCTTTTAACTGATGGGACGGGGCGGGCTAATGAGAAACATGGCAGACCCCAATCAGCGGGAGTTCTCCCCCCTTGACCGGATGCTCGTCAGTCTGGGAACATGTTCCAGCAATTACAACATTCCACCGGCACTTCCGAGGTGCCGGAATGTTTTCCGTCATCTCGGAATATGTTCTATTTTAGCATAAATTAAATAGCCAGTATCCTACGTCTACCTTTAATTTAAAAAAAAACCCCACTTACCACCAAAAAGCTGAGCTAGCCCAGGGTCAAGGCTGGCGATCATTAACACGGACAAGTCTGCAAAAATCAAAGAAAAATTTATTTTAGTCAAAGTTTTACAACACACCTAGATCATAGCACAACGTTTACACACCTAAATCAAGTTTTACAACACACTTTTCATATCACGTTTTTTATCATTAAAAACTTAAACTTAAGGGGAATTTGGGTTAATCAAAGACTTCAAGGTGAATGGTAATTAATGACGTCATTTTAGTGTGCAAAGACCTGCCAGTGATAACTTCAAAGCTATCCTTGTAAACTACCTCTGTAAACTACCTCTGTACACTACCTCTGTACACTACCTCTGTAAACTACCTCTGTAAACTACCTCTGTACACTACCTCTGTAAACTACCTCTGTACACTACCTCTGTAAACTACCTCTGTAAACAACCTCTGTTAGGTATCTCTGTAAACTACCTCTGTAAACTACCTCTGTACACTACCTCTGTACACTACCTCTGTAAACTACCTCTGTAAACTACCTCTGTAAACTACCTCTGTTAGGTATATCTGTAAACTACCTCTGTTAGGTACCTCTGTAAGTGAGCCCCCACCCCCCCCCCCCCCCCGGAAAAATAAACGTCGACTGTTTGTGAAGGTCGCTCAAATGTCAGGTAATGTAACGCTGCAAGCTGAGATAACTCTTGCTAACAGTCAGCGCTTGAGTTACCGGCCCTTGCTCTAAACTCCCGAATTATTTTCTCTCCTTCAGCATAACACACTGGTCAGGTGACGTCAGTACACACTGGTCAGGTGACGTCAGAACACACTGGTCAGGTGACGTCAGAACACACTGGTCATGTGACGTCAGACCACACTGGTCAGGTGACGTCAGTACACACTGGTCAGGTGACGTCAGAACACACTGGTCAGATGACGTCAGACCACACTGGTCAGGTGACGTCAGTACACAACATCTGGCTACAAAAGATATACGTAGAACCTAATGTCTGCAGGTAGTACCTAAAGTCTGCAGGTAGTACCTAAAGTTCGCTGAAGCTCATTAAAGTTAACGATAATGTCCTCAAGTGTCCTGCTGTCTTTGTCGAAATGTGTAAGAGCCCTGGTCCCACACAGTCCCACACAGTCCCACACAGCCCCACACAGTCCCACACAATCCCCCACAGTCCCACACAGACTAATCACGTGTGGTCCATCTGTGTGTGGTGCGAATGTCAAGCCACCTCTGACGTCAAGAAGGTCGTCACGGTTGACTGAACCCATCAGCCGCGGTGACACCAAACTAATTTAGTTTGACTCAAGACGCCAACCACAACCATCGACCGACACACGGCACCGCGCGACTCAAGACGCCAACCACAACCATCGCCCGACACACGGCACCGCGCGAGCTTGTCACGTGATAATAAGTGTGGCAAAACAATTACGTCACGTCTTGGGCGGGACTTCCGGATCTGCGCACAGTGAGTGAAACGGCAACAGAACCGGAAGTTGGTCGTGGCGGAGCTGTCAAACAGCACAAGGTCAGCGGGGGTCAAGGCCATGCGACACGCGCGAGTTTTGGTTCTGCTAGAGGGCAAACGTTTACCTTAGGATCTAGAGGTAACAACAGCAACAGGTGTAAACAACAGGTGTAAACAACAGGTGTAAACAACAGGTGTAAACAACAGGTGTAAACAACAGCAACAGGTGTAAACACCAGCAACAGGTGTAAACAACAGGTGTAAACAACAACAGGTGTAAACAACAGCAACAGGTGTAAACAACAGGTGTAAACAACAACAGGTGTAAACAACAGGTGTAAACAACAACAGGTGTAAAAAACAGCAACAGGTGTAAACAACAACAGGTGTAAACAACAGCAACAGGTGTAAACAACAGATGTAAACAACAGCAAGAAGTGATCCACTATGTGATCCACTGTTGTCATACCCTGTTTGTACATCCAACTTTATGTCACAAACTAAAGGCAAATACAACCAGCATCACTGTTGTGTTATTATATTTTAAGGCCTGATAGATAGCACCAAACAACTCTTATCCTGGTGATTTTTACAATTTTATTGATATCACAGATACAGCAGCTACACTACCAACACAACGACTTTCACCTTCAATCTACTGCACTTCCTCTTTTCTTTTGCGCATGCGCCTGCTCACAATATTTTGTAGATTTTTATTCCTACATAGCCTTTTTACACCTCCACTCGTAACATACATTCACCCCACACAAATACTCCCACATTTGACGGTTACAACTGTGATCCAACGTAATCCACTATATCATCCACTATGTGATTCACTATGTGATCCACTATATGATCCACTATGTGATACACTATGTGATCCACTATATGATCCACTATATGATACACTATGTGATCCACTATGTGATCCACTATATGATACACCATATGATCCACTATATGATCCATTATGTGATCCACTATATGATCCACTATGTGATCCACTATATGATACACAATATGATCCACTATATGATCCATTATGTGACCCACTATATGATCCACTATGTGATCCACTATATGATACACCATATGATCCACTATATGATACACCATATGATCCACTATATGATACACCATATGATCCACTATATGATACACCATATGATCCACTATATGATACATTATGTGATCCACACTCTAGACTCCTTAAACTCTAGACTCTAGGCTCCCTAAACTAGACTAGACTAGACTCTACTCTAGACTCCTTAAACTCTAGACTCTAGACTCCTTAAACTCTAGACTCTAGACTCCTTAAACTCTAGACTCTAGACTCCTTAAACTCTAGACTCTAGACTCCTTAAACTCTAGACTCTAGACTCATTAAACTCTAGACTCTAGACTCCTTAAACTCTAGACTCTAGACTCCTTAAACTCTAGACTCTAGACTCCTTAAACTCTAGACTCTAGACTCCTTAAACTCTAGACTCTAGACTCCTTAAACTCTAGACTAGACTCCTTAAACTCTAGACTCTAGACTCCTTAAACTCTAGACTCTAGACTCCTTAAACTCTAGACTCTAGACTCCTTAAACTCTAGACTCTAGACTCCTTAAACTCTAGACTCTAGACTCCTTAAACTCTAGACTCTAGACTCCTTAAACTCTAGACTCTAGACTCCTTAAACTCTAGACTCTAGACTCCTTAAACTCTAGACTAGACTCCTTAAACTCTAGACTCTAGACTCCTTAAACTCTAGACTCTAGACTCCTTAAACTCTAGACTCTAGACTCCTTAAACTCTAGACTCTAGACTCCTTAAACTCTAGACTAGACTCCTTAAACTCTAGACTCTAGACTGCTTAAACTCTAGACTCTAGACTCCTTAAACTCTAGACTCTAGACTCCTTAAACTCTAGACTCTAGACTCCTTAAACTCTAGACTCTAGACTCCTTAAACTCTAGACTCTAGACTCCTTAAACTCTAGACTCTAGACTCCTTAAACTCTAGACTCTAGACTGCTTAAACTCTAGACTCTAGACTCCTTAAACTCTAGACTCTAGACTCCTTAAACTCTAGACTCTAGACTCCTTAAACTCTAGACTCTAGACTCCTTAAACTCTAGACTCTAGACTCATTAAACTCTAGACTCTAGACTCCTTAAACTCTAGACTCCTTAAACTCTAGACTCTAGACTCCTTAAACTCTAGACTCTAGACTCCTTAAACTCTAGACTAGACTCCTTAAACTCTAGACTCTAGACTGCTTAAACTCTAGACTCTAGACTCCTTAAACTCTAGACTCTAGACTCCTTAAACTCTAGACTCTAGACTCCTTAAACTCTAGACTCTAGACTCCTTAAACTCTAGACTCTAGACTCCTTAAACTCTAGACTCTAGACTCCTTAAACTCTAGACTCTAGACTCCTTAAACTCTAGACTCTAGACTCCTTAAACTCTAGACTCTAGACTCCTTAAACTTTAGACTCTAGACTCCTTAAACTCTAGACTCTAGACTCCTTAAACTCTACTCTAGACTCCTTAAACTCTAGACTCTAGACTCCTTAAACTCTAGACTCTAGACTCCTTAAACTCTAGACTCTAGACTCTAGCCTCCTTAAACTCTAGACTCTAGACTCCTTAAACTCTAGACTCTAGACTCCTTAAACTCTAGACTAGACTCCTTAAACTCTAGACTCTAGACTCCTTAAGACTCTAGACTCTAGACTCCTTAAACTCTAGACTCTAGACTCCTTAAACTCTAGACTCTAGACTCCTTAAACTCTAGACTCTAGACTCCTTAAACTCTAGACTCTAGACTCCTTAAACTCTAGACTCTAGACTCCTTAAACTCTAGACTCTAGACTCCTTAAACTCTAGACTCTAGACTCTAGACTCCTTAAACTCTAGACTCTAGACTCCTTAAACTCTAGACTCCTTAAACTCTAGACTCCTTAAACTCTAGACTCTAGACTCCTTAAACTCTAGACTCTAGACTCCTTAAACTCTAGACTCTAGACTCCTTAAACTCTAGACTCTAGACTCCTTAAACTCTAGACTCCTTAAACTTTAGACTCTAGACTCCTTAAACTCTAGACTCTAGACTCCTTAAACTCTAGACTCTAGACTCCTTGAACTCTAGACTCTAGACTCCTTAAACTCTAGACTCTAGACTCCTTAAACTCTAGACTCTAGACTCCTTAAACTCTAGACTCTAGACTCCTTAAACTCTAGACTCTAGACTCCTTAAACTCTAGACTCTAGACTCCTTAAACTCTAGACTCTAGACTCCTTAAACTCTAGACTCTAGACTCCTTAAACTCTAGACTCTAGACTCCTTAAACTTTAGACTCTAGACTCCTTAAACTCTAGACTCTAGACTCCTTAAACTCTACTCTAGACTCCTTAAACTCTAGACTCTAGACTCCTTAAACTCTAGACTCTAGACTCCTTAAACTCTAGACTCTAGACTCTAGCCTCCTTAAACTCTAGACTCTAGACTCCTTAAACTATAGACTCTAGACTCCTTAAACTCTAGACTCTAGACTCCTTAAACTCTAGACTCTAGACTCCTTAAACTCTAGACTC